ACATGTGTAATGATTTTTGGTAAATTAAGTTAACATATTTTAAAATGAAAGTTTAAATAATTCTTTATTTTGACAATTCACTAAATGAATATTAGTGATCTACAATATGTAGGTCAATTCTGACAAATGGAGAGAAGAAGCGCCTCTAAGTGCAGCAGACCACTTTAATACAGCATAAAAGTAGGAACACTCACATGATAGTAGAGTAATATAGGCATGTTTAGTATATGGTGTTGAAACACCGTGTAGAACGACTGTCACTGGTGCCTAATACATCCGCGTCCCACTGGAGTGTGGTAGCAGGAGGGAGACAGATGTGGAGCCGGCCGGCATGCACATACTCCTCAAGATGGAGGCTGGAACGCACGCTGGAGTGCAACGTTGGCTTAGGAGTGATAACGTCAGTGACCAGAATGCAATGTGACATGTTTTGGAGCATGCGCTGGCCTCTAGTGATGGAAGCGAGCCCCTTTGTCAAGCAGGGGAATCATTCCCCTGCTTGACAAACATGTGAGTGTTTCTATGTTTATGCTGTATTAAAGTGGTCTCCTGCACTTAGAGGCACTTTTTCTTCTCTCCTTACTACACAGAGTCTGCTACAGTACTGCATGGAGCTTGCCCTTAGTGCCATACGGATCCCCCCAATCCAAGTCACCCAGACCATCTCCACCAACTATGAGACTTTTTGGACTTGGTTCCAGTATTTGCGCTGATTATAATTCCTTTTTTTTTACTTCTGACAAATGAATTAGGGATGATTTATTAGAAGCTGTGCAAAGTGAAAACTCACTTTGTAAAGTGAAGCTGTTCCACTCACTTAGTATATCAACCCCAATGTTTACTTTGCAAAGTGAATGCTAGTGAATAAGGTAAAGCTGTGCTCAGTTAGTATATCCAATCATGTACTAGCAAAAATACTGTTTTTGTATCTCCTTGCACATTATTGGATATTTAAATTAAACACAGGTTCAACTTATTCATTAAAATGTACTTTGCTAAGTGAACAGCCTCTACTCATTTAGTAGGTGAACGCTATTATCACCCATTGGTATAGGTTTCCTGCTCCCTTACATACTGTAAAATATCAGCCACTATTCGAGGCTATGGGAATGTAGTCAAATATCAGGCATTGTATTATATATTGGTGGTTTTGTCATACTAAACTAAAGTTATTAACTTATTTTATAATTGAAAGGTACATTTAGAAAGGTACCATTCTCAAGTAAAATAAGCACAGTGATATTCGTTCAATGATAGTGCATTGGTATTAGATTCTTTTAAAACTTGCTAATCTAACTAACATAATGCACTAAACTGGTAATAGGGAGTAGAATGGGATTAAAGATTGCAAAACACACTCAGAAAGAGACAGGTTTGAAGTTTGTTGGCAGCTTTGCTAAAGACCAGAACAGGAAGATAACAGGAAGGTAACATCCACAAAATGATGAGTCAAGTGAGCCAAATACTGAATCAAAGGTTGCAAGGCTATATCACTGATGTGTAGAACGGAAACATTTGTGTAGTTTTGTATCAATTTGTTAAGTTATTAATTTCGTTTTTTTTGCATTCGTAACAAAATTTGTTTCTTTTAGTTTAGACTCCTTTATTTGTTTTCGGCCAGTTTCAAATTTTTTCCATTGGATTTAAAGTATTTGATTAGATTTTGAAAATACTGAATTGATCCGAATTCATTGCGAAGAATAGATGGTTCTATTCAATCCGAAATTCACATTTCGGAAGACAGTTATATTCTTTCTAGTTCATTCTATTTTAATCTATTCTTTTCTTTCTATCTTCTATTTTTTGTTTTCTGTTCTATTTTATTCTTTTACTTTCTATTCTGTTCTGTTTTACTTAATGCTATTTTCTATTCTATTTTTTTATGTTCCATTCTTTTCTAAATTTGAAGTTTGGAGGACAGCTACAGTTAGGTCCATATATATGGTTGGACACGGGCAGAATTTTAGTTTTTTTTCAGGTATTTACAAAAACATATTCTAGCTATATTTGATATTGGCTGTAATGGATATTATTATTATTATTATATACAGTATTTATAAAGCGCCAATAGTTCGCTCAGCGCTGTACATTACAAAGGGGGACAGAACATGTGACAGAACAATACCAATACAATGCAAAACATGAGGGGATTGAGGGCCCTGCTCTTTGGAGCTTACAATCTAGGAGGGAGGGGATAGTGGTATAGGTGGAGATAGCTGTGGGGGATGGAGTGGTAGGAAGAGTGGAGGAGGTCGGTCAAGTTAGCAGGGGGTAGGGTAGGCTTCCCTGAAGAGATGGGTTTTCAGGGTGCGCCTAAAGGAGAGGAGAGTAGGTGATAATCTGATGGGTTGGGGCAGGGAGTTCCAGAGGATGGGTGACACCCTGGAGAAGTCCTGGAGGCGGACATGGGAGGAGGAGACCAGGGAACTAGAGAGAAGGAGGTCTTGTGAGGAGCGGAGTGTGCGTGCTGGGCGGTACTTGGATATTAGGTCAGTGATGTAGTTCGGGGCAGTATGGTGGACGGCTTTGTACGTCAATGTTAGGATTTTGAATTTGATCCGTTGCGCAATCGGAAGCCAGTGGAGGGATTGGCAGAGGGGGGTGGCGGAAACGGAGCGGTTGGAAAGGTGAATGAGTCTGGCAGCCATATTCAGGATCGTCTGAAGCGGGGATAGCCAGCGGCGAGGCAGGCCAGTGAGGAGGGAGTTGCAGTGGTCGAGTCGTGATATGATGAGGGAGTGGATGAGCTGCTTAGTGGTTTCTGTGGTTAGGAACGCTCGTATTTTGGCGATGTTGCGGAGAGTTGGAGTCTGCACGAGTTTGTTAAAGATTGGCCTTGGGGCTGGAAGGATAGGTTGGAGTCCAGAATGACACCAAGTACTCTGGCCTGCAGGGCGGGTTTGATATTGGCGTTGTTGGATGTGATGGAGAAGTCAATGGGGGGTGGGGTATGAGCTGAAAGTGCACACTCTCAGGTTTAATGTGAGGGTATGTACATCAAAATTGGAGGAAAGGTTTAGGAATTACAGCTGCCTATATCATTAGTTAGATGAGCAAGTTTGGTAAAGTGCTTCCAATATGACATAACAAAACAAATATCAAAAAGGAGGCTTGAGAAAACTAACTGGGGTGCAATGCGTCAGCAGGCAATGATTTCATCACGCTGGTTGAAGCTTTGATGCCATTTTGGAAAGTCAAGTATGCTAATAGCCTGTTACAGGCTTCTATGAACATTTTAACATGTGAGTGGAATTTTAATGTTCTTATGAAAATAAACTATTGGTCTTCACTACTGCATGTTTCTTTGCTTCCTTTTAATATATCTATTACTGGGAGATTGTTAATGACAAGGTGAATGCTGAAGAGGATCATAGTCTCAAATATAAAATAAAAGATCAATTGACCCGCCTTGATTCAAATTCGATTTGCTTTTCAGACAAAATTTTGTTTTGTTATATTGGATTCATTCAAATTCATTACTATTGCAATTCAGGAATTCTGGTACATCTGAATCTCCAAATAATGAAAATTTTGTCCAAATTTCAATTTGAAACAAAACAAACTGCACATGCCTACCATTCACTGAAGACCGATGACATCCATGAGAATTCAGCCTACTCATTAGAAACCACTGACACCAGTATGGATGCAGCCTTTTCATTCACTACAGTGCATTGACCCACAACATCAATGCCAATTTAGCCTGTTCTTTCACCGGAGACCAGTGACATCCCTGAGAATGCAGCCTATCTTTTCGTAAAAGACGGTAACATCAATGAGAATGCAACCTATCTATTCAGTGGAGACCAGGAACATCACGCTAAATGCAGTGTATCCATTCACTAGAGACCATCAACATCAAAACACATATGCAGCCTGTCCATTCAATGGAGATCAGTGACATCACTGAGAATGCAGCCTGTGCACTCATTTGAGTCTAGCAAGTCTGCTAGAATTCAGCTTATGTGTTATTTACATTACTTAAATTATGCATTAACTAAATCAGAGGTAAAGCCCTTTTTTTTAAAAAAAAAGCGGACTGACAAACTTTTTTTATGACAGAAGGGAATGTGCACGTCTCTTTTGTCATAGATGCTTCTACCTGCCTGAAAGCACTTTTGTCTGTCTGTGTGCACTGAACTGTACATGCAAAGCTCTGTGCACTGTCTCAGCACTAATCAGTGCCAAAACAAAGTAACTCCTGTACACATGCACTGGAGTAGGGTCATCCCATCCTGACCAATCAAAATGACTGAAAATTCTGTATTCAATAGTTTTATTGTTTTCATAAAGTAGTGAGGAAAGAGTCAACAAAAGATACAATGTGCAAATGAAAAACGGAAAGAAAAGTGTGTGAATGTGGGGGGGGGGGGGGGTCCTAGAAGACCAGGTGAAGAAGGAAGCACAGGCCATGGAGGAGAGTGTAGAGGGGATAGCTTTTCTGGGTAAGTGTGCTACAATACACCAATATACAGTGAGTATTTAACCGCTAGCCTACTTGGCACTTATACCCCCTTCTTGCCCAGGCCAATTTCCAGCTTTCAGCGCTGTCACACTTTGAATGACAATACAACACTGTACCCATATGACATTTTTATCATTTTTTTTGTGACAGATAGAGCTTTCTTTTGGTGCTATTTAATCACCTCTGGGTTTTTAATTTTTTTTTCTTAAACAAACCAAAAACCACTGAAAATTTTGGGGAAAAAAAAAGTTTTTTCTTAGTTTTTGTTGTAAAATTTTGTAAATAAGTGATTTTTCTCCTTCACTGATATGCGCTAATGAGGCTGCAGTGGTGGGCACTGATAGGCTGCACTGATGGACACTGATAGGTGGCACTGATGGGCACTGATGAGGAGGCACTGGTAGGTTGCACTGATGGGCATTGACAGGCATCACTGATGGGCACTGAAAGGCAGCACTGATACATGGCACTGATAGGCAGCACGGACTGGCACTGATAGGCGGCACTGACTGGCACTGTTAGGTGGCACTGACTGGCACTGATAGGTGGTACTGATTGGCAGCACTGATAGGTGGTACTGATTGGCATTGATAGGTGGCACTGGCTGGCACTGATGGGTGACACTGAAAGGCAGCTCAGATGGGCACTGATATGTGGCATTGATGTGCACTGGTAGGCACTGATATGTGGCATTGATGGGCACTGGCACGAGGCACTGATGAGCACTGACACAAGGCACTGATACACTGACAGGTGGCACTGCTGGGGCTACACTGATCATCAGGGCACACTGATCATCAGTGCCCTGATGATCAGTGTACATGTCCCCTCCGCGGAAAGCCGATTACCGGCTCTCCTCTCAAGCTGTCAACGTGACAGCTCGAGAGGAGAGAAATGCAGAAATGCAGATGGACACAGCTGATCACATGACCGAGCCAACATCTTCGGCTCTTTCTGTGATCGGTGATCTGCTGTGTCCAAGGGACACAGCACACCGCCGATCGCCGCGCGCTCCCTGAGCCACGCATGCACGGTGAGAATGGGAGGACGTCATATGACGTCCTCCCAGAACAAGAGAACTACCTTGCGCCCGTCATTGAACTATATGGTGGGCAGGAGGTGGTTAAACCTTTTGGACCCTTGGAGTAGTTTACCATAATGTGCAAATTTTACTTTGGTAGTTTACTACATCTTCAAAAGTCTGGTGACAAGACATACTACAAGCCATTGACACTATTACCTATTAATCATATTTCTTTTATATTTGTGTTTTCACACCCCAAATGTTTTAAAAAGAATTGCAGCAAAAACAGAATAAAAATCAGATAAAATGCCCTTTAATGCTAAGTAAAAGCCATAGTGGTAGTTGACCAATCCCATTGCCTGTTTATGTATATCTGTAGAATGGCAGTTATAAGCACTTTGATTTTCATTATTATGTAAAACATGCTTCAAAAGTATTTTTCTACTGAAACAATGTTGTACACAACTAACCCAAACATAAATTTTTTGCATACCTTTCAGAAATACCTTGTAACTTTTGTATTGGTTGCTAGTACCTCTCTTGTTGTGTGTGATGCAGCCTGTTTTCTCCAGAAAGCTGAACAGTTTGAAGAGCCACTAAAGGGTGAGTTAAAGTTTTTTCACCCCATTGTAAAGCTGCACATTACATCCAAACAAACAAAAGAAACCTCTAGCAATAAGTAGAGTGTGCTGCAAGCATTCATTTTCACCACACACAGCAGGCCAGGCCCAGGGTCACATCCGGCTATTTGGTTGTCCCTATTTGGCTCTTGTTCCTCCCTAAGGAAGCTGACAGGCTCAGAGAGGCACGCTCATAGATGTCCATGTGGAGAGATGTGAGAACTGGAAGGAGAGAGCCAGAGAAGCTGACTGGTACAGTGAGGAGGCTCAGTTGTGGTGGGAGATCATTGCTTAGGAGACTTCTCCCACCACTCTGCTACCTGGCCACTGCACACTGCAAACACCAGGAGCCCTGCACCTGTTCTTCACTCCAGGCCAGGAACTGCAGAAATCACCGATGTCAGGCTCTGTCCTTCCCATTCCAGTGCTTTTCAGAAGGCATTTGACGGGCAGTGGGGAGGTGTTATATCACCTCTTCACCACCTGATTTAACCTTAAAATGCCGCCATACCCGCTCTGCAATTGCATGCATTGCATATGGTGGCAGAGTGGCCCTATTGTTGACTTCAATGGGCAAGTTTGACAAGTACTGCCGCTTGTCAAACTTTGCAGCCCAAGGTATAAATGCTGCAGGAGTGGCATGTGAACAGCCCTTTCTGGCCGCAAATTTACAGTTCAGGTGTACAGCTGGGAAGGGGGTGGCGGACAACAGCTCAGAAAGATACCTAATTCATGAGCAATTGTATCTATTATTTCTAGTGCCAGGTGTTTGTTTTCTATAGGATTACTTACTGACAGACATTCCCAGGTCCAAAATTAATATTAAGCAGAATTATGTTTGCCACCCACAACAGTTTAAATTTTTCATGTGACCCCTTTGGAAAATGAAATCCCCATCTTTGAATACAGTATAGTTGAAGATTGTTTGATCATTGTTATAATCATTGCACTGGCCTGTAATAGCATTACTGCAATACCTCAGTCAACAGAAGTAAATGTACCCATCTGTATAGGCAAGGGTACCTTCAGGAATGTTGCCATCAGCATGGACCATCACTGAGAAGGATTTACAAAAACTAAAGCAAAGTAAACATATTGGGTTTTCACAATTTGTATTATGTGCCCCTATAACTGCAAGCTTTGGAAACCTGCATAAAGCAATTAAAACAAAACTACAATCTGCAATTTCTTCACATCAAGCATGTTTACTCCCTACACCCTAGTCAGAGGTATATATTACATGACACTAGTGTACCACTACTTCTGTATATTAGAAGGGGGGAGAAATTCTACACTAACCTTCCTAAATCCTGACCTAAAAAACTGTTTTTTCTACTGGAGTAACAAGTAACTAAAAATCTTAAAAGGATCACCATTATAGTATGTTTTATTATTTAAAAGCATAAAGGGTCTTTGAAATGATTTTATACATTCAAAGGAGGCACCAGGGGGTATTTAGCAAACATCCATCGCAAAAAGGACTTTATAATCTGACGAAGTTGTGACACCGGTCACACAACAAACATTACATCCAGGCACAACTTTGCTGCTTCAGGCTAATTAAGTAAAATCAATAATAACTAGAAAAGCTACAATTTCTGGGGAAATTGTGTGAAGTGTTCTTGCCTCCACCAGTAGTCTACAACTGGAGTGGGCAGCTCCCACTCTAGTTTTGAACATTCCGCCATTCATTCCTATGGGACCAATTTCACCACAAAAACGCCGATATTTCGTGAACCATTCGGCGAAACGTTCCACAAAGTAATAGCACACCAATCGGGAACAACCCGCACGTTTTGGTTTATTACTGTCTATGTAGTGTAAAAACTGTGGGAGGAGTTAGGGTGGTACATTTGGCTATAATAATAAGAATACATATGTGAGATAACAGTAAGTGGTCTTGCCATGCAAGAACACTTAATAACATAACTAATATCCAAACAATTTCTCCTTATTTAAGAGTTATAAACATGAAAAGGTAAAGATATGCAGTTTAAAAAAAAAAAATCCTGGGTTTGTCAATATCTAATCAAAACCATAACACTAACTCCTTTCCAGTTTTCTACCAGATGGTGGAGCAAAAGTTTGGATTGTCCTTCTGAATAACAGAAGAAAAGAAAGCACCTACCCTTGCCCATCCTGTACATTTATGTCCTACTGGTGTAGTGTTCTGTATTAACAACAGCATTAGGGTTAGTTGAGAGCAAACATATCCAAAGGGAACAATGCTTTCTGTAGTCTACCAATACAGATATGCCAAGGATGGGAGCTGGATCACAACAGACAAGAGCAGTCAGGATTTGGGCATTTTGGGTAATAGTGTTCCTATTTTTTTCCAGGATGTCTCTATAAGGGAAGACTATATCCACCTGGCAAAACATGGAGGACGAGGAGCTGTTTGAACTGTAATTGCAAAACAGACGGGATAATGGAGTGCTGTCACGCGTATGTTGATATTTTTAGCCTTTCAATAGACTTATAAGTTGTTAGTAATATCTTCCAATCCCCATTACATTATTAGGAGAATAAAGCTGCAATCTTATTCTGTCGTGCTTCCTACTGATTCCATGTCTTTTTATTCCTCACCTACAACAAAACAGTTTTTAACCAAATGTATACTGCTTTTAGTGATGCACTGACATATCGGTCGCTGAAAATTATCAGCCAAAATTAGGGTTATCAGCGTTTTGCCGATAAAAAAAAAATGCCAATAATTGACTTCAATGCAAAATTGTGTCCCACTGACTTCATTGCAAAAATGCGCCCCATTGACTTCAATGCAAAATTTCCCCCTATTGACTTCAATGCAAAATCACGTCCCATTGACTTCAATGCAAAATGGCATCCCATTGATTTCAATGCAAAATCGAATCCGTTTAACTTTAATGCAATAACACCTCCTATTGACTTCAATGCAAAATTGCCTCTATTTAGGTTTTTTAGTTTTATATATATTTCATTTGATTTTCTTTCCAATTTGTGTGTTGTTACTTTCAGTAAAACTTATTTTATGTTACTTGATTGTATTTTTGAAATTCATATTCATTTAAATTCATGATAATGATTAAAAAGTCAAATATAATACAATTATATTTTTTTAAAAATATATTTTAAAAAAAACTGTCCATTTTGGTTTCGGTTTTTGGCTAAGTGCATTCTGAATTTTCGGTTTCGGTTGCAGTCCAGAATTTTCATTTCAGTGCACCACTATCTGTTTTATATATACATATTAAGGAGATCAGCTTTATGTAAATTATTTTATTTTGTGATTTGTGTGTGAGTTAATGTTTTTAACTCTGAATTGTGTATATGTGTCACTGGGTATGTGCCTGATATGGAGAAAACAAACTTTTTGTTTTCTCAGAACCTTAGTAAGTCCTGTCCTTGGCCCTGTAGCCTCCATTCTTACATCCACATTGTACCTGGTAGCCAGACCCCATTAAACACTTTAAACTAGGGCCAATTCTGACTTCTCTCATGTAAATGTAAAAGTCTGCATTTTTTTGCAAGAAAATATTTTGCTAGAATTGTTTTGTAGACATATTTTTCTGAAAGTAAAGGCCCTGGAGAATATAATAATGGCTGTTGCAATTTTTGTATGTCAAACGGTATGTGCGCAGCCGTTACACACATCAAACACAAATGTTCCGGAAAAAATACACTTCAATTAATTTTATTGCACATAAAAACAATACCAATTTATTTTGTAAAATATAAAAGATGATGTTACGCTGAGTAAATATATACCAAAACATGTCATGCTTTAACCATTTGCCACCCGCCCTATGGCCGAAATGGCGGGTGGCAAATGTCATCAGCGTTCCGGGTGGACGCCATATGGCGTCCTCCCGCACATGCGCAGATTGCGCTCCTGCAGAGCGGCGCAGCAGCGCGATCTGTCACCGGCCGTGTACCTCGGACACGGCCGATGACAGATCTGAGTATCGGCCCCATTGTCGGTACCATGTGACCTGCTGCTGTGACCAATCACAGCAGGTCACATGACAGTTGTATACAATGGATGGCTTCATTCATGCCATCCATTGTATACTAGTGTCTAGCTGTGAATGGTCACAGCTAATCACATGCACATGTCATGTGATTAGTTGTGGCCAAATCACAGCTAAGCACAAAAAAAAAAAACCCTGAATGAATCGATGTCATTCAGGTAAATGCTTGCTTATAACAAAGTAATTCTTTGCTATAAGCAAATTGTGTAAAAAAAAAAAAAAAATACTGATCATTTCCCCTATAATGTTATGGTAACATTGTACTACTTTGGTCATAGTGAAATATGAAAAAAAAAATCTTAAAAAAAAAGAAAAAAAATGTAATAAAAAATAATAAAAAAAATAAAATAAAATGAAAAAAATATATATATATTTTTTTCATACTGTCACCAGTCAGTGTCCCTGATCACCGCCACGCTAGTTATATGATGACGCTGTACTGCACTGGTGACAATATGTAAAAAAAAAATAGTGAAACTGATTTTTTTAATTTTTCATTTTCCGAAAAATTATGGCAAAAAAAATACAACTTCAAAAAACTCGCCATGCCTCTTATGAAGTACGTCGGACTGTCTACTTTGCAAAAAGGGGTCATTTGGGGGATATCTGTACTGTTCTGACATTCTTGGACCTCAAGAAATTAGATTGGCTGTCAGTACTTCAGGATTGATCAATATTCAGATCTATACCATAGTTTGTGAACCTATAACTTTCCTACAAACTAAAAAATACATCCTAATTTGGGTTATTTTTACCAAAGACATGTAGCAGAATACATCTCGGCCTAAATTTATGAAGAACAATTATTTATTTGCAACTTTTATAACAGAAACAAAGAAAAACTTTTTTTTTTTCAAAATGTTTGGTCTTTTTTTGTTAATTTAGCAAAAAAATAAAAACCCCAGTGGTGATTAAATACCACCAAAAGAAAGCTCTAGTTGTGTGAAGAAAATGATAAAATTTTAGTTTGGGTACAATGTTGTATGACCGCGCAATTGTCATTCAAAGTGTGAGAGCGCTGAAACCTGAAAACTGGCCTGGGCAGGAAGGTGTAAAATTGGCCGGTATTGAATTGGTTAAAATTGTGCACGCTTGTGGAATGGTATGGTACATTAAATTATCCATAGGTAATGCTTTAAAAACCCTTAGAGGTTACCAGTTTAGAGTTACACAGGAGATCTCATGCTAGGATTATTGCTGTTGCTCTTGACTTATACAGCGATACCTCACATTTGTGGTGCGATGACCGTTTACATATTCAAGAAAATATTTTTAGGAAAAGTGGGACTTTTAAGGTGCAAAGAAAAAGATATAAACTTCACAATATAGTGATGTACTTTACTATACAATGGAACACGTAAGACATAGTTTAACCACTCAATTCCAGGCAGTTTCACCCCCCTTCCTGCCCAGGTCAATTTTCAGCTTTTAGCAGACACACTTTGAATCACAATTGCACATGCAACACTGTACCCAAATTCAATTTTTATCATTTTGTTCACACAAATAGAGCTTTCTTTTGGTGGTATTAAATCAATACTGGTTTTTTAAATTCTTTACTAATTAAATGAAAAATAGCCAAAAAACCCCACTTTTTTTTGTTTGTTATCAAATTTTGCAAATAAATAATATTTCTTCATAAATTTAGGCCAAAATGTATTCTGCTACATTTCTTTGGTATAAATAACTCAAATCAGTGTATGTTATTTAGTCTAAAATAAACAAATAATATACTGTATATCTAAAAACTGATCAATCTTTATGTACTTACGGACTCTTACTGATCTCATTTCTTGAGGCCCGAAAATGCAAGGACAGTACAAATATCCCTCAAATGACCCCTTTTTGGAAAGTTGACACTCCAAAGTATTTAGTAAGGGGCATGGCGAGTTTTTTTGAAGTTGTACATTTTTGTCACAATTTTTTGGAAAATTGAGAAATTTAAAAAAAGTGTTTATTTTTTTCAAATTTGTCATTTGTCTTTAGGCTGGATGGGAAGCAGTTAAAATAGTGAGAAATAATCATAACAAGTAGTAAAGTTTCCTTTATGTAAATTCAAGGTGTCTTCGCATGGTTATACAGATGTTCTTATACGTTTCAAACATGTTTTGCCCACTGCTTCTTCAGGACACACATGTGCCAAGGGTCCTTGTGGGGTGTCATGTAATGTATATTTGCTGTTCTATTCATTGCGCTGTATAGTTAAATAAACCAGTCATTTTCAACCCAGTGTGCCCAGGCACCCTGGGGTGCCTTCAGGTCTCTTCTGGGGTGCCTTGTCAAAATGCCTAAAACATTGCCCAAGACTGTATACAAGCCAGCAGATGGATGAAGCCTGCCTTTTAATTATTCAAAGCCACAGGTTTTCATGGTGCACCATTACCAACTTCTAGCCACCAGCATCCTAACAGCCAGTGATGTCATTGGATGATAAGGAGGATGTTGGGCACCTGCACAGCATCCATGTTTATCCCTCCCCTGCCCCTCTCCATCAGCACTGGGGTCACATTAAAGGAGCGAAGGAGATAAACTGGGGAGAAGAAAAACATTGGAATACTAGTCAGTACCAGTGTTCAAAGGTGTGTTTGCTTTAGAAGAATAAATCAGCTCTTACATTGACTGTCCTATGTATGTGAATGTTGCTGCATTATGTAAAACTATTAGTTTAGTTTTAGAATGGGGTGCTTCAAGATTGTGCAGAATTTTAAAGGGTGCTTGGATTTACAAAAGTTTGAGAAACACTGATATAGACAGTTAGATGCTGCCCAAGATGAGAAGGGGTTAACCGTGTCTTTCTGAGTCCTGCCCACTGCTGTAAGCCACATAAATGCAGGGGAGGGCTCAAAGCTCTCTCTCTTCCACATGGGATTTACAGAGGAAGATTTGTTGTAACATGCAGTCCCATTGGAGCATGTGGCCACCCTGCTGGAATTCCCCCTGGACTTGGATCCTTCCAGCACTGGACTCTTGCTGAATGGACTTTGCTTTCTGGAAAACTATGAGCCTGGGTAGCCTGCATTAGTTAGTTAGAGCTGGACTGTTTCATGTGTGCTGTACTGTTGATCTATGTTGCTGAATCTTAAGTACAGCTGTAAACTGTTTCAAGTCTGATCTGAAGTTAATTAAAGGGGTGCATGGTGGTTCCTGGCGTATGAAAGAACAGGGTCAGTTAGGTACATGTGGGGTATGAAGAAAGCTGCTACAGACAAAAGTCTACTTAGCAAGACAAGCAGACGGAGTAATGCAGTTGCTGGCAAGAGAAAAAGGAAACTGACAGAAGTGACAAGGGACTGATCTCCAGCACACAGCCTGTGATTGACAGCCAGAATGTAGGGGGGTGGGTATGTCTCTTCCCTCCAATCAGCCCTCAGACGTCTCCTCACTGAGTGCAACTTCGGCTCCCCATCCCCTACATTCTGGAAGGTCAGACAAGCTGTAGAAATTCTGCACTTTGAATAGCTGTACAGAAGAAAATATTCAGATAAACAGGTACAACTTATGTAGTAGGACTTGTTTAATCTCTCTCTGTCACCTGAGGCCTGTCACGTCAGTGGGTATTTACAACCACTTTAAATTCTACGTAACATTCAGTTTGCATGCCTTGTTCTTGTAGGGCACAGTGACTTGCATGTCTAGCAGTGACCAGTAGAGTAGTAGATATAACTGATAATACTTTTTTTTTTTCCAGTTATGGGAGACCATTCAGCCATGACAAAAACTGCAAATTCAAATTTGATCGGAAGGCCTGTAAATTCGTCCTAATACCAAATGAGGATCCAAAAAAGCAGTGCATTGGATATGGCATGAAGGGCTAAATACATTATGCTGGAAACATCTACAATATTATCTCTTTCAAGACTTCAAATGTAAAATTATTGCATCCAGTACCATGTAAAAGAAATAAATAATAAAATCAAGAAAAGCTTAAAGATAATCTATTTATTGCTGCACAAATAATGATCGGTTGGAGTAAAGTTATCATCTCTTCCAGACTGTTATTTTAAGAACAACAGGCTCCTGAGAGATAGTAACCAGTGATGTCTTGGGGGAGCAACAGTACTAGATTTTTCTAACATTCAGCAATATTCTGTCTGTGCATATAAGTAGTTTCCTTCTAAGGGCTAAATGGCTTTAAACCAACCCTGAAGTGCAAATCAATTAAAGCAATCATTTACTTCACCTCCAGGTTGAACACACCTGCCCCCCTCCCCCCCCTGCATTTATTGCCCATAGCCCCATTCAATGTCTAGCGCTACCCCTGCCAACTTGGGCTCTTTGTTCTGCATCTAACCTTCAATACCAACCTCAGCCCCTCTGACACACCTGGTTGAATGAAAGTCACTACAAGCACCTATAAGAATGAATATAGATAACTTTAACTTGGCTGTGATTTAGCACCAGGAAATGGACACAAGACCGTTTAGTGTTAAATGAACTCAATGTATTGGTATGGGTTAGAATGAATGGTAGTTTGAACATAAATGAGCATACAGAAGATAAGTTTAGACACAAGGGGGGGGGGGGGGGACCTGAACCTGGTGCACTCAAAATCTGGTGCAGCTGTGCATAGTACCCAGTCTGAAGTTGATTGGTTACTATGCAGAGTTGCACCAGATTCTGTATCCACCAGTTTTAGTCATGTAAGGGTGTGACGCATGGATAAATATTGGTGTGTAATATTAAACTGCAATATGCTCTTTGGTCAGTAGATGGCAGCAAAGTACAAGAATCGATTTTGTAGTGACTTTTGCTAAGACAAGATAAATGCTTATTTACCCTATAAAGTTTAATGAATACTAATTTAGGGGCCGAGTAGGACCCTCAGAAGGGTCATAGTGAACTGTAAATGCAGGTTTGAGGCTGCAATTAAGAAATGACTTACTGCATCACAAACTCTATGGGAAGGGGAGGAGTTCCGGTGCAGAGGAGGAAATGACAGGGAGTCTGGGTTTGGCTGATGTATGCTGAGGACGTCTGGAGAATCTGTGTGGGGCCTGGAAGAGGATTTACGGCTCACAGTGGAATCTGGTGACTGCACCTAAGGAAGATTCACCACAACGAGACCAGGAAACAAGTGGCTGTATGGTCCGGTTCGGGAGTGGATCAGGGAAAAGCAGCAAGAGCCTGCCAGGGAACTGTAAGTGCGGTTTTGCTGCAGCACATCGCACCACACGTGTTCAGTGACATTTTGGATATACCAGAAAGCTACAAGAGACATACCCCACTTTCCTTTGGATTACAAATAGTATTGCGCAATACTTAGGGTGCACCCCAACGTTATATCTTGCTCAGGAACATTCAGGCGCAGCCAGGCTGCTTTCTGGACATTGGGAAAAGTCCACAAGTACGGGGTTAGTGTTAGACAGTATTATTCTTACTGTATGGTTATGCGCTGTTATCATTCTGTTTACGTATGCTCAACTACATGATCACTATAACTGTTCAGTAAATGTAATTGTTTTAAAAGAACCGCTGTCTGTGTCTGTGTGGCATCATGTACCCTCTGAATCTGTGGGCCCAGCCCTCGGTCTTCCTTCATTTGGCGCTGCGAGCAGGGTACATTGATCGCCATGCAGAACACGACCGGTTCTGAGGCGGCTCCAGCCGTGGCCTCTGCCACCCCTCCTACCGTAGGAGTAGCTCCGACCATGTGTTTGCCTGCAGGAGCAATAAGGGATGCTAGACGCACTGTAATGCTACGCTCGGAGGAGGAGGAAAGGAAGACACTGGATGCTATATATTCTCGATTCTCGTGCCTATTTACGGAGAAACGGCCGGCACTGGCAGCCTTAGGTCCCACTTCTTCACGCGCTTCCAGCAGGAAGATGAAACTATTCCCCAGTTCGCCAATGCCCTTCAAAAGATATGGGCACATATACAGAAGAGAGAGGCCAGCGGTGCTAATGTGCTTGGAAATGGAGATCAAATCCTCCGGATCAGTTCATCCTTGGTCTGCACAGTCATCATCTTCGACAGGCTCTCAGGGAGCGTATCCTGGTGGATGCTACATTGCAGTTTTAGAAGATACAAGGTGAGGCTGTGGCCCGAGACAAAGAAGAAGCGTATGGAGCTTACACCGTGAGGATGCAGGCTGCAGGAAGGCAAAGTACTCTCTCTGATGGGGGGGGGGGGGGGGTCTGCTAGAGACAGTGAGGGCACTTAGTGCATCCCTAGGAGAAATTCAGAGACAGTTGGCACAGTTACGGGCTACATCAATGGCCCAGGTTCAGCCTGAGAACTGGCAAAGGAGTGCAGCCCCCGTGGGTCCCCCTCTATATCGATCAACTCAAGGAGCTGAAGTGAGAGACTCTACCATGCACCGAGCTGGCCTGCAACCATCCACAGAGCCACAGTTGTGTGGTCCTCCAAGGGACCGGAAAACGAGGGGACCGCAGTGTTGGATTTGTCAAGAAAGAGGACATATCTCCAGTCAATGCCCACTAAGGGTCCTGAATCCAGAACAGCCGCCGTTAAACGGGAAACTGTTCAGTAAACGTAATTGTTTTAAAAGAACCACTGTTTGTGTCTGTGTGGCATCGTCTACCCTCTGAATCTGTGGGCCCAGCCCTCGGTCTTCCTTCAGTAAATCTCCCCCACAGTTTGCTAGACAGTATAATCACTACTCTAAAGTAACTTATAATTACGTCCTGTACCACTAAACTGAATCAACTCATAAATCAGCAAAGTCGGTAATAAACCATGCATATAAGCTTTAATTGCAATGTAAATAATAATACTATACCTAGTTTTGAGCGCACTCTAGGAGAATGGCTAGGATATAGTGCAAAGTCCCTTGAGATGTACCTCTTAGCATAAGCAATAAGTAAAGGTCTCTGTGTAGCAGCTGTAAAGGGGCAGTCATTAGTCTTAACTCTTCAACCGGCCAGCATTGGCACCCAGTTGTACCGTTGGTGCAGTCAAGCCTGCAGGCAGCAATATCACTACTTGATAGCTGTATGGTCAGTTCCTAAAGGGCTCAGTCTCTCTATCAGCAGTAAATCCCCACAGCAGCAGATCACCATCTGGTCACACACAGCGATTAATCCACTCTCTGCTCTGTGCCCAGGTGAGACTGTCTAACGGCGCCACCAAATTCAAGAATCCGGATCCCACTCTGGCCGCCGATATGCAGCAGTGATTGTGCACACTGGACAGCGATGTGCACTCTCCGGTCTACCCCACGGCAAGAAGAAGCTGTGTCTTGTACAGCTCAGGAAAATTCAGCTCTTTCCCCCCCTCCTCCCAGCAATCTCCTCTCTGGAAAATGTAGTTCAAAAGCTCTTGATTACACAGTAGAGTCTCTCCTCAGAACTACAGTTCCCACAGTGCATTGCTACCTGACTTAGTCTATTGAACTCTTCCTGATCAGTAGCATCCTCCTTTTGCTGAAACAACTGTTAACAAGTTCAGCACCACAGGGTTACAGCTACAGAGGGCAGCTGCAGCCAGTGTTTCTCTCACTCTCCCTTTTTAGCCAAGCACCTGACTACATATGGAATCGATCCCCCGTTATTCAACCTTTTTCTCTTCATGGATTAACCCACTTCCTTCCACTTTTTTTCTTTTTTTGCTGTATGTAGTGATAGAGGCAACATTTTGCTGTGAGCCCAGGCCAGACTGAATATAAATCCATAGGGGCGGGTTCATGACAGCATTGGCTCATAGGACACTGGGCATTACTGAAATTGAAACAGGACTGTTGCTGGACCTTGGAGTGGTGTGTGGAAAGTGGCGCTTTAAGATTTAAACAGAAAATATCAATGCAAAACTATTGCTTGGCCCAAGCACTGCCTTGGTGTGCTAGCCATGCACAAATACTCTACAATGTTGTTATATCAAAATAATATACTAATTTTTCCTTGCATATAATTTAGCTGGCTTGAAGTTGCAAATCAGAATGGTGCTTTCTTACATCAGCATCAAAGTCCTGAGTAAAAGCAATGCCACAAGACAAATAGTATTACCTTTATTAGATGTAGACAGTGTTGCCAACACCCCGAAGTGAAATATTTACAAACAGCACCAATTTTTTTACTGGCACAAATCATAAAATTTACTGACAGAAACACATTTTTTACTGACACTTCAAAATAGTACATACATACCAGGGGCGGACTGACAACTCATGGGGCCCCCGGGCAATAGGGGATCATGGGGCCCCTGTGTCCTTGCCCAAACTCATGAAAAAGGTACCAGGGGCATCTCATGGGGCCCCCTACTGACCCCGGGTCTCGGGCAGTGCCCAAGTTTCCAAATGGTCAGTCCGCCTCTGATACATACACTCATCAGCCACTTTATTGGGTACACCTGTTCAATTGCTTGGTAAGACAAATTGCTAATCAGCCAATCACATGGCAGCAACTCAATGGATTTAGGCATCTAGACATGGCAAAGACAACTTTCTAAAGTTCAAACAAGCATCAGAATGGGGAAGAAAGGGGATTTAAGTGACTTTGAACGTAGCATGTTTCTTGGTGCCAGACGGGCTGGTCTGAGTATTTCAAAAACTGCTGATCTACTGGGATTTTCACTCACAACCATCTTTATGGTTTACAGAGAATGATCCGAAAATGAGAAAATATCCAGTGTCAGTTGTGTGGACGAAAATAGCTTGTTGATGTAAGAGATTAGAGGCGAATGGGCAGACTGGTTCAAGATGATAAAGGGCAACAGTAACTCAAATAACCACTCGTTACAACCAAGGTATACAGAACACCATCTCTGCCATGAAGAATTAAGGCATAAGGGGGTCCAACCCAATACTAGTAAGGTGTACCTAATATAGTGGCTAGTGAGTGTAAAATGGCAGTTTTAA